ACTAGACACTATAACCTAAGCGCGCACGTGGTTCTAGGCAGATACTCATACAGACACATACACATATACACACTCATCAGGTGCACGCACATATACATGTACACATACAACTGTATGCACATCTACATATACATACACATATGCACATACATGTGCATGTACAGATAAGCTACATTTGCGTATACAGTTACACCTATATAGTCATAGACGTATACATACATGTATACACATGTATACATATGTGTATGTATACATGTACACCTAAATTTACATATGCATACACACATTCATTTACATTTGCATATGCCTATACACTTCCGTATGCACATACACATGCATATACGTATACATATACACATACGTGTACATATACATACATCCGTACACAACCAAACACATGTTGTGTGCACATATACATACACATGTACATATATTATTCATATACCTATACACACATTTATATTTACAATGTTATATGTACATATACATGTATGATGGAACTTGTTCGGGGATCTTGGGCCCTCAGCTTCGCATAATTGGCCGCGTCCGCTGTGCAGAATGAATCGTTCGCCTCCTAGCTCTCCGGGCCTGAAGTGGCTTGGAAAATAGCTTCAAAAGTCTGTGCTTATTTCCCATGTTTTCTTAAGGCGAGTATTGCTTTCCATAACCGTCTTTGGTCAACTTAATTTGTGGGGGCCCTCGCCATAGTGACTCGTGCGGACGGCGTCGTGATGGCCATCGGGCATATGAGGCGGTGTCAGATACGGTCCTGGTCAGGAGCCGAGGCCGCGGGCGACGCGAGGATCCTCGGGGTGAAGATCGACGACCTCGGGCGCCGGCGGACTCAGTGGCGAGACGTCGTCTCGCAGTCGAGCGTGACCGACTTCCAGGACTGGCCCGCGGTAGGGCCTCAGACGGCAAAGTGGTGCATGTTGTTCCTGAGCCGCCGCGGAGGCGGGCCAATGGATCACCATAGGTACTTCGTGATGGTGGACGGCTTGGGCTCAGGCGACGGGCGTGGAGACGCACCGCATGTGCTTGAAGACGGTGGAGGATGCCAGGAGGCATGACCACCTGGATCTGCGCAGTTTGCGTGCTTCGAGATTATGTCTCGACAGGCGCAGCTCGTGGAGCACGTGTGCGAGCAGGAGCGCGTGGCGAAGCTGGCGACGAGCGGGAAGGGCAAGAAGGGCGGCGGCAAGGGCACTGGGCTGCTGGCCGAGGCGCTGTTCTTCACAGGCCAGCACCGATACGTCGGGGGCGCCGTGCTGGCGCCGGAGCTGATGGACTTCGTTTCGAAGGAGGTCGAGCAGGATGCGAACATCATGAAACAGGTGGGGAAGGCGCGCGAGGAACGCCGAGCCCTCGCCAACAACAAGGACAGGGCGGGGATCCCCGCCCCTGCGTTTCTGCCGCGGGCTCCGGCAGCTGGCGGCCTGGGCGGAGGCCTTACTCCGCAGTTTTGCAGTTCGGATCGCGAGCGACGTGTTGCCCGCGCGCTTCTTCCACTTCCGCATCCTGAGCCGAGCTGCCGCCGCTTGGAGGGCGTCGGCAAGCCAGGCCGTGGAGACAAGATTTTGCGCCATGCAGTCCGCCGGCGCGGGCTTCGGAGGGTGGAGTTTCTGGGGCCGTCGCCGCCCTCAACGAGCTGCAAGGGGCCCCCCGGGATTCAGGCAGCTTTCATTTGCTGCCGAGCTCGGCGCAGAAGGCGTGCTTGGAGCGGTTTCGCGAGGCGCGTCGCGCGCTGGGTTCGCCTCCGTCTGGCATGCGTGGGCAGGGCCCTGCAGGAGCTCCTGTCGAAGCAAGGCTACGGCGGTGCCGCCAGAGCTGTTGCCCCCCTCGAGGTGGACCGGGTCGCCCTGCCCAGCCTCCGCCGCCAGCTTGCTCGCGCTGAAGACGCAGGCGGGGCGGCGAGCGCGAATGCGCTCGAGGCGCTGGGGAGTTTGGCTCGGTCGCCCGAGGGGGGCGAGGCAGAGGGGGGGGCGCGCTTGCAGCTGCGCCGCGCCTGCAACGACCCCGTCGCCAGGGGAGGGCCAAAGGGGCGCGCTAGACTCGCGCGGCAGCTTCGCGAGAGAGGGATCGTCGAGCATAGGCGAAGCTGCTGGAAAAGCGCGGTGACTTTTTGCGCGCGGAAGAAAGGAGGGGATCAGCCTTTGATCCTGGACTGTCGGACGAGCAACTTTTGGTTTAAGGGCGCGCCCGCCGTGGGCCTCGCTACTGGGGGCAGTTCTGGGTGGCTGGAGTTCGAGGGGAACGAGCCGATGCGCGTCTCAGGTGCAGACGTCAAGGTGGCGTCTTATTCGATCGGCTTGCTGGGGGGGATCAGTCCCGGCAGTCGCTGCTGGACTGGGGTGGCCGTCGGATCGTAGATTTCGCTCCGTTCAACCCTTCAGGGCAACCCAGCGCTGTCAAATTTCGCGCGGCGGTTGCACGACGGCGGCGGTCGCGCGAAAAGAGCACGCTGAAACCATTAATGCTCGCGCGCGTTAAAACTTAAGCAGATTGGATCTGGATGCGAAGTCGCATTTTCCAGACTACATTTGCTATTGCTTTTGATTGAACTGCCCCTGCGTCGCAAACATATTTCCGCTTTCAGTATAAAACCGCTTCTTCGTTTATCGACTTTTCGGTTTGCGCGATGTTTGAGATTTTCTGCCGGAGTTGACCGCGCGGCCAGTCCATCGAGTTCCGGCCGCTGTCAACATTTCGCAGGCGGAGGCATGCCAGTTGAACCGAGATCATGTCGCTGTCATTCTCAAGGGGTGGTTTCTTTTGAAGATTCGGTTTATGTTGTCGTTGTTTCTCCTGCGCCATGGGTTTCACAAGAACGTGCGGGGAGTGATCGGGGGAGCTGCGGGAGTTCTTCGGCATGGGGCCCATGCAGGCCGGTGCAGTGGGGCTCGGCTGGCTTGATGGGGCTCGCCTTCAGCGGGGAGAGAAGGTCGCGCCCGTGCCCGGCGCCCTGCCCGCGGGGTTCAACGGGGCGCTCTACGTCTGCCAGGCCTTGCGCGAGGCGGTCGCCGAGCGTGCGGGGGGCGTCGAGGTGGGCGGCGGGCGGGTAGATGGCCGCGCCGCCCCCTCGACGCGCCGCGGCGCGGCGCGCGCGGGGCGCGCGGGCAACTTCGCGGCGCGCGGCGCCGACCGGGAGGAGGGGCGCAGGATGGTGACGGAGGTGGGGGAGGCGCTCATGGCCGACGGCCCGGGGGTGCACCCCGTCTCTTACACGCGCGGGGGCGACGCGCTGGGCCGGCGGCCGGCCGCGGGCGCGGCTCCCCGCGCAGCTCGGCGTTTCCCCTTAGGTTTGCGTGAGACTTTGCGACGAGGGCGTGCGAGCGGTTCCCAGCTGAGAAGAGTCGTAGGTCGCGTCACCGTTCGCGCGCTGCGGAGGTGCCCCATCCTTTCGGTCTTACACGCCGTCTGCGCCTTTATCGATCGAAACCCCGAGCGAGTGGTCAAGCTGCGGGACTCGATCTGGAAGAAGCTGGGGCGTCTAAGTCACTTGATCCCGCCCGCCCCCTTCAGCTCAACATGGGGCGGGGCGCCGCGGTCGCCGCGTTCGACGCGAGCGGGTGGGCGCGCGGGGCCATGGGGCGACGGTGCGACCTAGGAGCGATCGAATACGGTGGGCGATATTCGGATAGATGGAGACTCATTAAGACGGGGGAGCAGCGGGTGCGACCACGAGAGGAAGAGGGGGTCCGGGGACACCAACAAGGAGGTCTTCGCGGGGAGCCTGCGGTGCCCAGGTCTGCATGGGGAGGCTGCTGGAGGCGCGTCGCGAGCACGCCCTGGAGGGTCTCTGGGGACCAGGTGATCTTGGGGGCCGCAGCCGGGGCGTGGGCCTTGCGACGCATTCTTCGAGGTAGCAAAGCGATCGGTCGTCGACACCTCGCCCTCAAAGATGCGATGGCCCTTGTGATCGGTTTTTCGAGGGGCCAGAGCTCGAGCAGGGCGGTGGGTCGCCGCCTGCTCCAGCGGGCTGACCTGTGCCCGGCGGGGTTCGTGGTCGCGCGCGCGCGCTGGCTCGCGTCCAGACTCGGTCGAGAAGAGCGCTGCCGCGGCCCGCCGCGCTGAGCCGCGGGCCAGAGGCGCGGCGCTTCGGGTTCCCGCCGGCGAGCGCGACCTCGGGGGCTCCGAGTTCGTGGGCTCCGTCACGGGCGGCTTCGTCGACGCCAAGGGCGGCGGCTGTGCTGCCTGGGGCCCTGGCGGGTTCCGCCCGCCGCTTGGGCTCTCTCGCCCCAGCTGCCCGAGCAGGGAAGAAGAGGGCGGCGGCGAGGGCCCAGGGCCGAACGGCCCAGCAACGGCGGCCGCAGGGCGGCGGCGCGGCGGCAAGGCAGGGCGTCAGCGCCGAGGGCGCGGGCGCCGGCCGAGCCGCGGCATCCGCAAGCCGGCGACAGACGGACGCCGCCGCTTGCCGGGCCGACAGCGCCGGAGCGCGACGTGCCAGCAGGCGCGCGGGCTCTGACAGCGCTGGAGGAAGAGGCGGTAAGAGGCCTGACGCAGCGAGACGTAACGCTACCGATTTAGCTGTTTCACGCGCTGGGCTTCGGCGGGGGGCCTCAGCTGGAAGACCCTGGCGGAGGCCCGCGAGGCGCTCGTGGAGTGGCTGGACGAGCAGTTCTGCGAGGGGGGGCCCCTGGCGACCGGCGCGAAGATGTCGGCGTCGCTGGGGCACCTACTGCCTGGGGTGTCGCGAGGGGCCGTGGAGCGAGCCTCGGCGCAGCCGGAGGGCGCTCCAGGGCTGGCGGCGGCACAGCCCGGCGGCGTCGCGGCTCCCGCTCCCCTGGCCCGTCGTTGCCGGGGTGGTGAAAGGCCTTCTGACGCGCGGGCAGTTGGCGGCCGCCAGCGCCACCCGGCTTGCGCTCGTGCTCCTGATGAGGCCAGTGGAGGCGAGGAGGCTGGCAGGCGGGTGCCCGGTGAGGCCAGTGGCGATCGGTGCTCGCAACCGCCGAAGGTGGTCTGTGGAGCTGCACCCTCAGGGGCGCGGGCTGACCTCGAAGGTGGGCGCAGGACGAGCGCCTGCTGTTCGACAACCCGGAGTTCGACCTGATCGCACCGCTGCTCAGTCACCTGCAGAGGACCGTAGCGGACGGTGAGCCGCACTTCAAGCTGAGCGCGGCGCGGTGGCAGGAGGCGATCCGAGCGTCGTCGCGGCGGCTGTTTCCCAGCCTCGCCGCGCCGTCGCTTTGCCAGCTGCGGCGCGGCGGGGCGCCCCGCGACGCGCGCGCGGCGTTTCGCGCCGCAGATCTTCGAGGGACTGATGCGTCGAGGGCGGCGGGGAAGCTCGCGGCCCGTCAAGCGGCGCGAGAACGGCGCCGCGTGAACCAGGCGCTGAGGTCGTCGACGTCGGCGGAGCTGGAACAGGCCCCGGAGGCCGAGCGCACGCCTGGCGCGCGCCTCTCCGCGACATTCCGTGCCCAGCCGGGCCGGACAATTTGCGCTGGATCTTCGTGGGGGGCCGGCGTTTCAGCCGCTGCTTGAGGCAGCGGGCGCCGCGGGGCCTGCCCATCTTCGAGATCGACCTGAACTTCCGCCAGTCGCGCGACCCGAGCAGCCAGGCGGCGCGCCGGTTCTTCCTGGGCTGGATCCGTTCGGGCTGCTGCAAGGCGGCCTGGCTCGGCAGGCCCTGCTCCGCGCTCTCGAGAGCGAGGGGCTCTGGGGCCAGGCCGCCGCGGCCGCGGTCGGACGAGCGGCCACTTGGCCTCGGCGGGCTGTCCGAGGCGGTGAAGGTGGCCGCGGCGAACGATTTGCGCTGCCACTCGGCGAATGCGCTGGGGAGCTGCCTCCGGCAGGGTGCGCCGCGCGCGCTGGCGAACCCGGCGTCGCCAGCCTGCGGGCGACGCCGTTCTTGCAGGACGCCCTCCGCCGGAGGGGGGCGAGGGGGGCGTCGACAGATTTGGGCGTGGATGGAGCACCGTGGTGCAAGCGCACCCGTGCAGCATATGTGCATTTAGACCTAATTAGTAGTGGCTGCACGCGCGTGTCATAGCGTTCGGAATCAGCATAGGTGCGATCGCACTGGCCGGAAGCACGTAGTTTAGCATGGGAAGGGCCTTGACAGAGGGTGGCTCACTAAGACGGTAGAACCATGCCCTCGTTCTTTGTGCAGGCGTCTTGTCAAGCAGCATCGTGTTTCGATGATCGCGCGTGCTGTGACTAGTTTAAGGAGTCTGTTGATATTATCGGCGTGCCAGTAGGTGACTTTGGTAAACGCTTCAGCACTTGAGTTGACAGTGTGTGAATTCAACATTTAAGTTTGTGCGCGTGCTCTGCTCTGGCTGGCGGGTAGCCAGCCTCTCGCACGCGCATTGCCCGTCAGAGAGGGGCGGCCATGGCGCGAGGAGAGAAAGAGCCCGTAGATCTGATGGAACTCGATCGGGGATCTTGGGCCTTCTGCTTCGCGGAATTGGCCGCATCGCTTGAGTAGAATGCATCTTTCGTCTCCTTGCTCTCCGGGACCGAAGTGGCCCAGAAAATGCACCCCCAAACCTGCGTTGATTCTCCATGTTTTTCTTCAGGCGAAGATTGCTTTCCACGGCCGTCTTTCGTCAAGTTCCCCTTTTAATGTTCGGTACAATGCATATGCAAATACCTTTCAATGCCCACCCGGCTTCGACTCGACAGTTGGAGTTGACAGCGTGTGAATTCAATTTTTTTTTGTGCGCGTGCTTTGCTCCGGCTGGCGGGAAGCCAGCCTCTCACGCGCTGATGGGCTCTCAGAGAGGGGTGGCCATGGGGTGAGAAGAAAAGAGCCCATATATACAAATTGTATGCATGTATGTACATATAACACACATACGCATACTCATGTACATACATCGTCATCTACATATCCATAAACACCTACAACCATGTACACATATATATATACATTTATATATATATACGTTTACCTTTGCAGGTGCATGTGCGTATGCATATGCATATGCATGTACCTATACGTACACATGGATGTACATACGCAAGTACAGTTACATATGCATGGGCATGCACGTAACTATGTCACCAATAAACACAGATCCTTATATGCATATGTGTATACGTACACATAGACGCATACACATACACATGCATACACACATCCCGAATAACCTACATACACATAACATTATATACACATACCTCGACACATGTGTGTTGTATTTAGTATTACGTATGTGTGCATATATATATATATATATATATATATAAAGTTTGGGAGTGGAAGGGAGGTGGGATTGGGGAGGGAAGGTGGAAGGGTGAGCTGAAAGGGAGGGGAGCGATGAGCGGGGGTCCCATGGGAGCTCCAGAACTTGTTTTCTTCCTCCAACCAGCAAGCAACCATCATGTTGTCCGTCTGGATTTCTTTACCAGCCATGCGCGAACGGAAAAAGCGTCAACCTTGGTGACCGCTCGGAGAGTCGTAGAGTTTCCTATTCTTGTGGTTGAACCAGGCTCTCAGGCTTAGATAGTACTCCCCGCCCCCTCCTCCACGCATCGGTCGTTGGAAGTCGGCATTCTTGGACTCCCAGATTCCGAAGTACCTTGCGTTTCCTGGCTTCATTCATCGAGTGTTTTTGTGTATTTGTTTTAATTCGCGGGCGGGAGGGAATCCATTTTACTTTCAACGCCAACCGTACTTCGTGTGTCTACCCGTTTCTTCCGACCCATGGATATCCCTTATTCCCCGCTGCAAGTTTGCCACATCGGCGTCCGATCGCCAGTGTGGGCCCACAGGGGGGCAATCCGAGTGCTGGCGCCGCCTTTCTCGAGCTCCAGATTCAGAGACGACGTTTGGGCGGGGGATAGGCTCAGGGGGGGATGCATCGCCCCCCAATCGCCCATTGATCGCCGAGGGGGGCCTGATGGCTCACCCCTCCCAGGAGCACGCGGATTTGCTATCGCGGGCCTGTCGCCGATCCGTCGGCGATGCATCGTCGATTGCAGGTCGATGTTTTCCCCGTGAGCCAGTCCCCCCTACCGTTCCCCCTCACAGATGAGCCCAGAAGGGGCCCTTGGCCTTCTTCGGGTCTGCGAGAGCAGGGCATGCTCTTCGTTACTCGGGGGGCGCAGCCGTCGGCGGCGCTCTGCGGAGGGAAGTGAGAGGGGGCAGGCCTTCTCGGAAAGCTTCTTCGAAGGCCAGAGGCCTTCCAAGCCTTCTGCGAAGGCTCGCCCCTCTGCCTGCCCCTTGGGCGCACCGCGCGGGCTTTTTCGTATGTCAGAGGGCCAACCCCTAGCATTCGTCCTGAGGGCCCCCTTACCCTCCCCCCTCACCTCCCGTCCCCTGGCATCCGCAGTTATGACTCGTGTCCATCCGCGGCCTCGAAGTCCTGACCGCTTCCCTGGGTGGGAGTAGTTTTTCGTCACGAATCCGTTGTTGATGGCCCTGGGAGCCGGGAGCCTGATAACGGGCCCCAGAGGCCGAAACCGCGGAAAAGCGCCCGGATCGAAAGAACAGTATCGTCGGGGATCTGAAAAGGCCCGCCCATTCCGCCTTCCCCTGGGCCGGCCCCCTCCTGCCGTTCCACCTCAAGGGGAAGCGTGGTTCAGCATTGGTTTTGACCCGTTTCGATTGAGTTTGCGGATCTTCTTCGCGATCGTTTTTCATTTGGCTTGTGCTGCGATTGGCACGCGCGCGAATTACAAGGCCAACACCAAAACATATGGATGTTCGCGATGAGAAAAAACCTCAAGGGGAGGCGAGGTTTGAGGAGGGCCCCCCCTTTGCGGAGGGAGGCGGAGAGGCGAGGGACTGCGCGAGGCGCTGCGAGACCCGACCCTTCCTCGCGGGACCCAGCTAGGGCTGGGGTTGAGGAGGCGGAGGAGGAGGAGGACCAGTGCAAACCCAAGAGTCATCAACGATGTTGGAATAAAACCACCCTCCAAGCTCCTTCTCCATAGACCCCTACAACGGTTTATTTTCATTGGGGGGAAAGCCTCGTTGGAAGACAACCGTTTGAATACCCTGAAGCATGCCAAAACATTGTTCTCGGGATTCCAACGCCACGGATAGACCTGACTGGTGCGTCTTGACGATCATGAATCGTGCCAGAACGCATTCCCTGGGACTTCAACCCAGCGAATCAACGTAACTGTTGCGCACGCGTAATCCTGAATCTTTTCAAAACGCCAGTTCTGGTACGTTGATGATTGGAAGCCATGAAATTCTTCCAACTTGTGTAAACGAATGTGTGCGGAGCTGAGGGGAGAGCCACATTTTGAAAAGGAACCGCCCTCGATCCGTGAAGCCCTTGCAAAACTGTAAAGCGAGTGTAAGCAACGCTAAGGCGAGAGCCACATTTTGAAAACGACCCGCCCTCAATCCGTGAAACTCTTGCAATTGTTTGAAACGAATGTGCGCAGCGCTAAGGCGAGAGCCACATTTTTGAAAACGACCAACACTCCATCTGTGAAGTTGTGGTCACTGTGTAAGCTTCAGGGTCACAAAGTGTGAGGAAGTCTCAAGCGAAACGCCCGGCCTGCCCTAAAAGTTGGCCCCTGAGTGCGACAGGGAGAAGTTGTTTATAAGGAAGAGGAACGGAGGAGGAGGAGACGGAGGCGGAGGAGGAGGAGGAGGAGGAGGAGGAGGAGGAGGAGGGGGAGGAGGGAGGAGGAGGAGGAGGAGGAGGGAGGAGGAGGAGGAGGGGAGGAGGAGGACGAGGAGGACGAGGAGGACGAGGGCAGATGAGGAGGAGGAGGAGGAGGAGGAGGAGGAGGAGAGGAGGAGGAGGAGGAGGAGGAGCAGGATGGGGAGGAGGAGGAGGAGGAGGGAGAAGGAGGAGGAGGAGGAGAAGGAGGAGGAGGAGGAGGAGGAGGAGGAGGAGGAGGAGGAGGAGGAGGAGAAGGAGGAGGAGGAGGGCTGATGATGAGGAGGAGGAGGAAGAGGAGGAGGAGGAGGAGAAGGAGGAGGAGGAGGAGGAGAAGGAGTGGGGAGGGATGAGGGAGGAGGAGGAGGGAGGAGGGAGGAGGGAGGAGGGAGGAGGAGGAGGAGGAGGACCACTGGAAACCCAAGAGTCGCCAACGATGTTGGAATAACCCCTCCCCCCTAGCTCCCTCTTCATAGGTCCCTACAACGGTTCACCAGAGGGGCCTGCCCCGTTCGAAGACATCCGTTTGAAGACCTTGAAGCATACCAAAACATTGCTCTCGGCATTCCAACGCCACGGATAAACCTGACTGGTGCGTCTTGACGATCCTGAATCGTGCCATAACGCCATTCCTGGGACTTCAACACCGCGAATCATCGTAACTGTTGCGCCTCCATAGTCGTGAACCCTTCCAAAACACAGTTTCTGGTACGTCGGTCATGGGAGTCCGTGATATGAGTGTAACTGTTTAACAGGAGTGTGCGAGGCGCTAGGGCGAGACTCATATATTGAAAAGGAGCCGCCCTCAATCCGTGAAACTCTTGCAACCAGTTTAAAACGAATGTGTGCGGCGCTGAAGCGAGAGCCACATGTTGAAGACGACCCGCTCTCCATCTGTGAAGCTCCTGCAAATTTTGGGCACGAGCGTGCGCGGCGCTGAGGCGAGAGCCACATTTTGAAGACCACCCGCCAATCCGTGAAGCTCTTGCAACTTGTTTGAAATGAACATGCGCGGCGCTAAGGCGAGAGCCACATTTTGAAAACGACCCGCCCTCAATCCGTGAAGCTCTTGCAAATTCTGAGAACGAATGTGCGCGGCGCGCGAGGGCCACATTTTTGAAAACTACCCGCCCTCAATCCGTGAAACTCTTTCAAATCTTGAAAACGAATGTGCGCCGCGCCAACGCGAGAGCCACATTTTGAAAACCACCTGCCCTCCGTTCGCGAAGCTCTTCCAAGTTTTGGAGAACGAATT